TCCCGAGGGGAAACTTCAGAAACTCCACATCCCTGGGGCAGACGGTGGCAGGGAGAGCTGCCACATTGTCTGAATCTATAACGCTGGTTTAATTACCTCCTGGCCATGGTTAGTCTACCTTCAAATTCATCCTGTCGTATACACCACCCAGAAGAGGTCCTTTGAACTTCCTGACGCGCAGTTGACTGTGATGACCATTCAACCGAGTGACATCAGCCTCATCTCTTTCTATCAACGCATGCACGCCTGCGCCTTGGGCGCCTTCGCCGTGTTGTGTTTTTCCTTTGCTCCCTGGTCTATCTTCTAACTTATAATTACACCATCCTCGCAGGGTGTGTTGCTAGCACAGAAAAGAGGCGCAGCCGGAAGCCCATCCTCCTCACCAGCACCAACCTACTTGCTTAAGGATCCCCACAGGAAGATGTTTAGTGCTGGTCTGTGTCTCTGGCTTCTGCTTCGTACCTTACGACCGTGGTTCCGCGTCACCCGAAAGCCTTTCCGTGAATACCTTTGATCTATAGGTGGGGCCACTTTCACAACGGGCTACCTATGTGGGAGGTTAGAGGCTATATATACCATAATGTTTCAGTGATTTCTCGAAACTCCTGTGCTGGAACCACTTCATCCTAGCTTCATCCTTCTGGCAAGCACTTCCAGGACCCAGTTTAATCAGAGGGAACTTGGGTGCTAAGAAAATGATAATTTAGTTTGTGCAATAACATATTTAGGAGCAGCCGACTAATGTAATTACGAAAAAACGGGCTATTACAAGTCTTGCTTTAATCTATATTTTTGGGCGTCTGGCTTGTTTATTGCCCTTTAAAGTTCTGTGTAATAGCGAGAGATGGAGGTTGTATGTGAGAGGGTGTCACATGGTTGAACAGCGGGATAACAGGCAGGCAGGATGTCTTGTCGCATCCAAAATAGAGGGACTCAGGGGTTTTGGATCAAACCCTTGAGGAGCATAGGCTTCTGGCGCTAGACACGGTATGCCTTGCTCACCAAGCCTTCATATATACCAATGGGGTTGACCCAAATTCCCATAAATGGAAGGTGAGGCTATCCGGCGAATGCCTTTGTAACACGCCAAACAAAGAGCGTAACGGAAAAAACTGATCTTTTGTAAGCCACTCCAATGGACCCTTAACTGCAAATAATCCTGCCCAATAATACCACACGCATTGGTATGATATATATTCAAATGCGGTTTTGAGCATTATAAGAGATAAACAATCAACTTCCTGGGGTGGTGGCTAAAGGACCAATCAGGTATTTGGTCAATTGTCTGAAAACGCTAGAAAGTCTGAACCAGAAAATGTTTTGCTGATCCATTCCCCCATGATGGTCTGAACAGACAAAGTAGCTGTAGCGCAAACACCAAGAGAGCATAGCCTCTTATCCCGCTCCAAATTAATAACTGTTTTCCTGAAGTAGGCTGATTTTAATTTTGAAAGTTTCCTGGTCCTTGAAGACATGTCACTTCTTGATATTTGGTGGTTGTGTGGAGTAAAGAGGCCTGTTCCTATGTTTCTCGTGTTTCCACTATTCTCTCCCTCCTGGGGTTATCGCGCATATACCTAAGCTGGCTGACTCTAGAGAGCCCGCCTGTTATCCCTGCTCCTGCGCAATCTCCAAAAACCACGAAGAGGAAATCTGTGCAGAGTCAAAAAAAGGCAATGATGTCCATCTTTCTTCCAATTCTCATATCTTTCCTCTGTTTTCGCTTCTTATAGACTACAGCATGCAGAGCACTATCATTTAGATCTTAATTATCCTGGTGTCAGCACTAGAGTGGAATAAATTTCTATCCTCATCGCACGAAATAAACTGTATGCGAATTCCTGCTGCTTTTGTGTAAAAACAATGGAAGGCGGGGGCTTGTCTGCCCGAGACCCTGACCTTGTGGCATATTCAGGGTTTAGCGGGGGGGATCCTACTAGTTTATGGAACTAGTAAAAATCTTTACACTCACTCATACTCATGAACAGTTAAAAAGCCAGGTTTATAGTGCATTGTCAGCCATTCAGGGCCTTCCCATTCAGGGCAAATTCAAAATGGTTGCCTTTGGGCCCGTTTCTTAAGATGTGCTGTCAAGCGGTTATGCAGCGATGTATCGAGTATGGACAGGTAAAATCACATGACCAGACCTTGTCAGCCAGATGGAAACACAAAAACCATTAAAAAAATATAACACAGCAAATAGAATTAAACTGAAAACGCGAGAACTAATGTAGCTGCAACCTCGGTATTCACTATATCTCAGTGCATAAGAGTTCCTAAAGGTCTGGCTGTTTAGATTTGGTGGCACAACCTTACAGCGGCTAAAAAAGATAAAAAAGAGAGTGGAAGTACAGAGAGCACTTTATGTAATACTCCGATTTAAACTTAATTTACACAACAAAATTTACAAAACAAGAACAGATATAGTATAACTAAAATTTTGCAATTCACCCAATTAGCAGAGGTCAAAAATTTATTAATCTGAAGGTAGACCAACCCAATCCCCCTAAAGATGTGGCAGAACACACACACACCTCTCTAGATTCTGGATTAATTTTATCCTAGTGTTTATTCAAAAACAAAGCAACAGTAGAAAAAAGCAATGTAACAGAATGAAACATTGAGCAATAAAACCCAAACAAGTGAAGATTGCCTGCAACAAAGGTGAAAGCCATTCCAAAAAATCTCCCCAGAGCATGAGAAGACCATCAAAGATTGAAGAATATTCAAGGCTCATCAGTCAAGAAAAGAACGCGGCCAAGGAGGCATTAAAAAGTAAAGACAAGGAGGCAGCCCCATAAACTAAAAGTCACTAAAAAGCCATATCACCCAGAGGTCAATCTGATAGTTTAACTTTGGGGCCACTGCTCGCGCCAGCATCACCTACAAACTGGCGCGAAGGATGCATCACCCTGTAGATGTTGAGACTGTCCACTTCTCGGTCTTGTATGTCATACGCAGGTTGGGCGTGAAACGAACAAAGAATCTAATTTTTAGAAGCGCTCTTTTTAACATTTGGAACGTTTGGGGGAACCCCGACGTTTTTTTCGCAGTTTGAGCCGTTTCTTTGCTTGTTTTTTTTTCCACCCACATTATGTGCACACAAGCTCCTCGCCTTTGCTACTTGCCCACTGAAGACGGAGAAGCATGCACACAAGGGGGGAGGAGGCGGCAGCAGAGTACATGTGCTCCTATATTGATATGCAAAGTAGGCTTTATGTCATCTGAGTTGTCCAACCAACCAGTGGCACGGATCCAATATTTCAAAATACCCTAGACCATCCCCACCAATATAATATGTATAGTTCGACGTTATGTGCTTAAGTTTTTAATGATTCGGAACCCATAATCTTACCCCTCAATCAAATGTCCTCCCCAAGGATTATTTCCAGCGGATAAAAGTGGGGTTACGCGCCCGCCAGGCCACGCTTAATAGATAAATGAGCGCTGATAGATAAATCAGAGAACAACACTGAGCCAGTCTTTTGGATACCACTCCTTTGAAAAAGGAATGGGCTCCTCAAGATTCCGGTTTCCCTTCAAGAGCCATAACCCCATTGCAACCTCCACTGCTTCAGAGGGGTGGGGGGGATTCAACTTAGAAACATCATTTTGTAACCTGGCCCGCCTTAACACATTTTAAGTTACAACAATTTACAATGCTTAAGAAAATTGGAGTTAGCCAACTAAGTAAACTTAAGTTGTTTTAACATAATATCTGAGTTCTAAAAAACTTAGAATAATAGTTTGGGGACAAAGGTGAAGCCTGGAAATTAGTCCCTCATCTAACTTAGATTTTAATTTAATCAAGTTTTTTTTAAGTGATAGCAACAAGATATTTCAAGTTGTACAAACCTCAAATCCTAGTTTAGACAACATAAAATGACGCAAGTAAAAACCAACCAAACTGAAAGCATATCTGAGTTGTACAAACCTAACAAAAAAAGTTTGTTTCAAACTAAGCATGTTGTACAATTAACTTCTTGTTGTGAAACATAGTAATAAAACTGCTAATAACTTATTTTTTTTAAGCAGCAGGTTAACTTTTTCCCAAAATATTAACTAAGTGCATGTTAAGTCATTCAATAAAAATTGTACATCTCTTTTCCCCACCACAACTTAAATCATAGATACATAAAACTATTTCTGTCCATCACAGACGCATTCAGAAGCCATTTTATTGAATTTCAACCTGGGTGTCCGTTTTGGTATTACACCCATGAGAGGCAATGCATATATATAATTATAAATTTAGATATTTAAGCATGTTTAGCTGTTAACATTTATATAGAACGTAAAAATCTATATTAACGTTTACCATGCAAGAATTTTCATGGTATGAAGTAGGTGTGAAACAAAAGCTACTGCTTTGAAAAAAAAGTTTGTCAATTACTTGCAATTCAATTTGTAGATCTTGAGTATGTCGTGATTGAAACAATATTACATACCGTACAACAACAGACATCGCACATTACATCAAGTATAAGACCTTTTTCTTCTTGTGTTGACTCCTTCTTAGCAATTGTGAATGAAAGTCTTGGCCAAACTTGTTCTCTTTTTTTTACCACCACACTTGCCGTTGAAGCCAGTTTGTTTCGAAATGCCAATTACTTTGGGGGCGAACAGTTGCCACTTCCAGATCCCATCGAAAACCTTCGGGGAATGACTCTGTACTGAGTTCGAAAGTGTATTTCAGTCCTTTGGGTATGCTATGTGAGCAATAAAGCAGAGCCATCATTGTTGCGAGGCTTGCAACATCTCTTAGATCGTGGCAGAAATGATGTGCTCCTTCCCAGGAACCCACAGCAAACATCAACCAGCCTCTCTGCAACACCTCCTGCTTTGCTCCACCGCTTTCGCCCTGGAAACAATCCAGTAACCAATTCACCCCTTTTGGTGACCTCTGAACGCCAGGCTAAAGCGACATCATTAGAACGATAGAGTCAAGAAATCAAGCATAACGCATCA